ACCTGAAACAATGAGTTGAGAAGTATTTGTTTTTAATTTGAACTTCTGTAAGGTTGGTACAATTTTTGTCTTAAACATTTGAAAGATTGATCAGTGAATCTGTGTCTAAAATTTTCTTGTTGGAAAGTTTTAAATTATAAACTTTATTTAATAGATGTAAATGTATTCTCTGTGTTTCTGTTTTATTAAATTGATTTTTAAAGAAATTTGCACATTTTATCTAAGTTGTAAAATTTTCTAGCATAGAGTTGCCAGGTCTTCTTTGTTTCTTTTTAGTTTTGTTACATAATGTTCTGTGCAGAGATCTTGAAATATTTATTAGATTATTCTTATGTGTTTCATCATTTTTAATGCCAGTATAGATTGTATCATTTAATCTATTTATGAATATAGTCTTTGTTGCTGGTTAATTAAATATCATTGATTTTACATTGACTTTATATCCCAAAGTCTCTCTTGATCTACTTATTGGTTCTAATAATCTATCTTTAGAATTGTAAACATACTCTATGTACAAAAACTAGTTTTGTCTGTGAATGATAATTGTATTTTTTTCTCAACAGTCCTGACTTTCTTTTAAAATTTCTTCCTCTCTCTCTCCTTCATTCCTCCTTCTCTCCCAATTTTCTTTTCTCCCTCCCTCCCTTCCTTCCCCCTTTCCTCTATTCCTTCTTTCCTCTTCCTTCTTTTTCTTTTATTTTTCTATTTTACTTGTTTGGGGCTTTATTGCACTAGTTTGAACCCCGAATAAATGTGAAATATATGTGGTAATACTGCTCCTTCTTGTTCTTTTTTTTATTTTTTTTTATTTTTAAGAGAGATACTTTTGCTATAGGACACCTATGCTTGCTGGAGAGAGAGAGACAAAGTGAGAAATCATCCCCCCTGAGGGGCAGGCCATGCTAAAATCCCTTCTCCTTATTTCCTTTTGGGATTTTGGGCACACATGTACACTCATCCCATGTGAGTTTTAAGTCACCAAGTCCGGGACTCAAACTGCAGTTGATTATGTGGGTCTCCTTGTATCGTTCTTCATCTCAGAGGGAAGTTTCAATGGTTCACCTTCAACTATGAGCTCATTTTATTTTTTATAATATTCCTTTTGCCTTTTTGTTGTCTATTTTTAAGGTGACTATAGTATTTTGATAAATTTACGCATAGTAAAATGGTTACTATAGTCAAACAAATGAACACATCCATATCCATCATCTCACATAAAACCTGTTTTTCTTTTTGTTCTTTGTGTGTGTGTGCATGCATGCATGTGTGTGTGATAACAGTACTTAAAACCTGCCTTCAGTAGATTGCCAGTATTCACTACAACTGTGTGCTCTTGTTGTTCCTTAAATCTCTAGACTTACTCATCCTACATAGCTGCAACTTTGTGCCCTTTAACCTTCATCTCCCCATTTCCTCTCCTCCCTGGCCCCACCCCGATAACCACCATTGTACTCTCTATCTGCGTACTTGACGTTTTTGGTCAAGTTCTCATACCTGTGAGTGGATGCAGTATTTGTCTTTCTTTACCTGACTCATTTCGCTCAGCAGAAGGGCCTTCTAGATTCATTGTCCTTTTCCTTTGAGGAATTCAAAAGACGGAATTATTTTGTTACTAAATAATTTATCTTGAAAGTTTAAAAATAAACAAATCTTATTACTCTGGATGGGGGGAAGGAATTTGGGGATCTGAAACATAGCCTTTTCTTAAGGATAACAGCCTTTTCTAAATAACAAACCTGTTTTTGAGCAATTGTGTTCATGATTATAACATATTAAAACATAAAATATTTCTACTCATTTCTCTTAAAGTCAAGAAGAATTTATTTGTAGAAGCCAGGAAATACTCTATTCAGTTTAAGCTCTTCATCTTAAATCAAAAAATTATCTTCCTAGCTCAACAGTGAAAAGCCTAGACCTTCTTGATGGACAGCTTCTCCCTTTGCTGGGGAGACTTGGAACGTGCCTGTAATTCTAACTGTGTGTGACAGTCACCAGAGCTTCACAGTGTTCCCAGGAGGCCATCGGGTAGGATACCAGCTCTCGTACCTCTAAGCCTGTGAGCTCAGGACATTGGCTTAACGAATGCCACACACCAGCCCCAAGTATGTATGTTCCTCTGGTTCTTAAACACCTCCTTTTGTACTCAGTGGAGCTGAGTTTTAAGTAAACCTTCCCAGAGGGCACTTTATAGTGAAGAGCCACCCTGAGAGGACTTCTACCTGTCCCATCAAAGCTGGCTTAACCCCTGACCTGCATTTGACCCAAGTGTTAACCTGCCTCCTGGCTGCTCTTGGTTCTCTGCATGTCTGCCCGCTGTTATCTGCCCATTTGGGTTTTTAATCAACACATCGGTGTATATGGTCCCCCATGGCACATTGCTGGGTATGGGTTTGTGAATACGAATGCATTCTAGCTCTGTCCTCTCAGTCTTACTCCAGTGGGAGCGATCTCTGTAACACAAGGGCAAAGAAAGGAAGGATGAAGTGCTGGACTCGCTGTCATTTTCTTGGGGTGAGGGGTGCAGTTAGGACAGGGATGAAGCTGAGTGCCCAAGCTTGAAGGGTACCTTGTGAGAAATCCAGAGACAGGAGTAGGTGTGTGGGCAGGTCCAGGAGGTGGAAACGCCAGGCCAGATGGAGTCATGATTGCTTGGATATGCTTCTTTGGTTATTGCCATCAACAAACCCTATCTTCAAAATAGGTCCCAGTCCAGCCAGTTCTCACTGTTGGTTATCACCTGTGCCCCATGCAAGTCGTGCCCTGCAGCAGCCTCCTAGGGCTCTCTGTGCCCCCCCCACCCTGCCAGCCCATGCACCGAGGGTCCACCCTGACTGCCCTGCGCAGACTCTCATGGCTTTCTAATACACGGACAGCAGCCCAGGGTTTTCCCAATACAGCCAGACCCCCGTGTCTGCTCATCAGACTCACCAACCTCATCTCCCACCACTCTCTCTTCATCGCTCTGCAGCTTTTGGGCCCCCTGGATGTTTCTCAGACACCCCAGCACATCCTGTCTTCTGCGCCTTTGTGTGATGGCCTCTTTGCTCAGAATCACCCTCCCGCCCCCCACTTACTTCATCTCATCACCAAGGTCTCAGCAAAATTGTCACTTCTCCCTGTCCCCATCTTTCTGTAACTCTCACCCAGCCTGATCTCTTCCTAATGCTTATCATTACCTAAGGCCACAAGTGTCCCTTTCTGTCTAGACCCCTGGCTCATGGCATATACTCCATGAATGTACAAGGGCATGGTTCACCAGCTAGGTCTGCTCCTCCTAATGAACATGGTCAATTTCCTCTTTTTGTCTGCAGAGCAGCTTCAGGACTAGACCCAGGGCCTTAGTCACTGGGGTAGACATCCCCAGGAAAGCATTCTCTGCCCTTCTTGCTGGCTGCTAGCTCAGCACTGGGCAGGGCCTGTTGATCTTTTAGGTAAAAAGAGTGTCGTAGTTCCAAGGACTCTCTTAAGTGAAGTCTCTGAGAAGTTTGCTTACCTTACTTACTAATTAAAGGGAAGCCATGTTTCCCCCCCTCCCTGCTCTTTGTAGCCATACCACCAAGGGCTACTTGATAGTCCCCTCCAGATTGGGTTACACGGGCACCTGAGATAATGCCATTTGCTACGATGATTGAGTCGACAAGGCTGAGTGACTTGGTGCAAATATTTCCCGATGGGACTAACCCTTTGGCAGCCTGCTTACCATCACTCTGGTTTTGATAATGAAAAAGGAAATTATTTCTGCTTTTCATGATGGCGGCTCCAGAAATGGTGAGTTATGTGGGCATGGGGAGGGAAGGTGCTTCTCAGTCTTTCTCCATGTTGTATGGACCGATAACCGTGGCCTGTTCAGGAGGGGACTTTCTCACCCAGGTTCGCTCTTGCAGGAAGTGTCCTTCCATTTATTCTTACTCTGTGTATAAAGGTAAACTATGTTGTTTACCACACACTAACAGTAAGCAGAAGTATCAGTAAGAACCAAAGCCAAAAATGGACTGCAAGTAAACTTACTAGCTTTCCTAGCTGTTCTTCAGAGCTGTGATAGGAAGGTAGTAAACAGCCTCAGTGCATAGCTCTCACTCAGGTTTCACAGGACTGTGAGACAGTTTGAAACTGCTTGCTAGTTCCCTTTGGAATTCCACTGTTAGAACCGGCAGCCAGAAGGAAATACAATGGGATGCTCTGGGTCCCTGTGTAAGTGCTCACTGGAGCCTCTGTAGGGTGTAGTGTAGGAGGATGCAGGCTCTAGGGAGCCCCTGCCATTCTCTGGCTTCCTCTGCATTTCAAAGTTCCAGGGAATGGCTGTGGGAGGCCTCTTTCTGGCCTCTTTGGCATCGCAATGAGTGGAATTCTCCGGTAGCAAACAGTTCCAGGTTGTGCCTGTGCACGTCAGGGGCCCCCAGCCAGTCGCTGCGGCGGGGGAGAACTGGGCACATGGCGTGCTCGGATACCTTTATCCTTAAGTGGGTCATGCCCGTGTGAGCTTGGGAAGAGCTGTGTTTATGGGAAGCTACTGACACTGGGGCCGAGTGCTCCTCCCCGGGTGCCGTCTACATTTGGGGAACATGGAAGTGAGGTGAGTATGGAAACTCCTTGTGTTTCTGGCAGATGTGTCTGTGCACAGACAGAGCGCCGAGCGTATGCTGGACAGACCAAAAACAATCTTGGGAAGTCCTTTGAAAGTAATCTGAAGAGTCAGGATACAGTAACTTGTAAATAGCAAAGGGGCATATTTCTAAAAGGATACTATGGAATCTCTTTTAAGATTGGTTAAACAATGAGGAAGTGAGTATTTTAGTGAAATTAAGTTAGTTCTACCACTAGCACTGGCGTTTCTGGTGTCTGTAGTGGTCAGAAAAAACTGTGTTCTTGAGAGACCAGCGTTTCCGACCAACTGGTACTAAATGCACTTTATGTGGATTGTCCGCTTCCGGAGACTGAGACTAGGACAAAGATGCACCTGATGCTAATGCTATGAAGGGGAAACAAACGCTTTCTGTTCTTTCTTGGCAAAGGAGGTGGAGGTGGAGGTGGAGCCGAATCTCAGAGGCCCTGAAATAGTCACCATGGGGGAAAATGACCCACCTGCAGCTGAAGCCCCCTTCTCCTTCCGATCACTTTTCGGCCTTGACGATTTGAAAATAAGTCCTGTTGTACCAGGTAGGTAAGACCAGGTGGGACTCTGTGACTGCTGCCCCGCCCGTGTTTAGATGGCAAATGTGGCCGTTGGCTGCCTGGGGGACATCTGCCCAGATGCTCAGGGCTTCCTTAGCCGTTCAGGACCCCAGAGAGAGGGGCACTGGGGAGAGGTCATTGTGCTCAGCCCCTTGCCAGTTCCTTAGAGACAGGAATTTGTTCTCTGGTTGGAGATTTTCAGAGGTTGGGGCTCCGTAGCTGTTCTGGAGGAGGTAAGATTTTAGCCTGGAAATCTCTGAGCCTTCCGAGAAGTCCTAGGAACCAGAGGCTACTAGCCTTCCCAGAAAACTGAAAACAAGTGCGATGTTACTAAAGGTATTAGATGCCTAGATTAAGATCAATGGCCGGTAGGTGACATAGCCATTTCTGGCAACTAAAGGGAGAGAATTTGGTTTTGTTAATAAGCTGCAAATTCTTGATAAAAACAGTCCACTCCATAGTAGGATAGGTCTTCCAAACGCTCATGAAAAATGCATATTATGACATCACTTTGCATGGACTTCAAAATTTTTCTGTACCAAAATAAACTCTTACTTGAATTCCATTTTCCCACAAACTTCTTTAAGTCCCCTTGCACCTAGACAGCTAGGGTCTCTTTGTCAAGAGCTTATCAGGACTCGTCAAAGTGAGCTGTGGGCTTGTTGGTCCCTGAAGCTGGCAGGTGCAGACGGAATCCAGATCCCTTGGGCTGGGGAGAGCACCATGTAGCTCTGGCTGAGGTACCAGAAAGCACTGGAGGAGGGGAGGTGGCTACCCTAATGACTCCTTTTAAAACATCTGGACAACTGCATGGAGGAAGTACAGGAAGGAGGTGAAGTGGGATAAAGGGTTTCAAGTAAGTGAATCCTGTCTGCCACGATGATTGAGTCATATAAACTACAAGACAGACAGTTTATTAATGTGGCTCAAAAGTTAGCGTAAGTGTAAATGAAAGGAAAATAAATATTCTGCGACCATCTGACCTCTCCCCACACCTACCTGGCTTCAATGTCTGCTTTCATTCTCTTCTCTTTTTTTTGGAGAGGTTTTCACAATAGGGTGCGTGCGCTTGCCAGACAGACAGACAGAGACAGAGAGACAGAAAGCGAGAAATCACCCCCAGGGGGGATGGTCACGCCGCAATCCCTTCTCCTCCATTCTCCTCTCGGGATCTTGGGCATGCACGCACACACATGCGCCTGGCGTGAGTTTTAAGCCACCGGGTCCAGGACACGAACCGCGGTCGACTATGTGGGAGTCCAGCGACATAACCATTACGCTACTGCTGGTTCCCTCATTCTCTTCTTGCCCTTGCCTGTAAGAATGAATTCACACACAGAGCAGATGAGTGCAGTGTCCCCAAGTACTCCGGTTTTTATCAATTCCTTCTCTATGGCTTCCCAACCTTCCATCAGGTAACTGTGAGATTCACATAGCCTCTCGATCTTCGTGTGACCTTAATTGCTCTGAAAAGTTTTATAATAGAAATTATATACACACACACACACACACACACACACAAACACACACATAGCCTTAGATTCCTTTCTGTTAATTTTTAATTTCTTTATGATAAAGAACTTTTAGAACTTTTCTTTTTAAATAAGGCAATGTACTGTTCATTATAGAAATAGTTTATCAAAAAGATTTTTTAAAATTACCCACAATCAGAGACAGCAGGTGGTGTAATGGTTAAGGAGCTGGACTCCCACAAGGCTGACTGCTGTTTGAGTCGCAGCCCCAGCAGGTTGAAAACCACAGCAGGTGTGTGTGTGCGCATGCATGCCCCAAATCCCAAGAGGACAGTGGAAGAGAAGGGATTGCAACATGGCTGTCCCTTCTGGGGGTGATTTCTCACTTTCTCTCTCTCCAGCAAGTGTACATGCTCTATGGCAAACAAACAAACAAGCAAAATTAGCCATGACTGCTCTTACTCTCTAAGAGGTAATCCTACTAACAGTTTGTTATTGAATGTCTTGCTTTCTTCTATTTATATTTCCCTTTGAAAGTGACATTAACTATTCACTGTAAAGCTTTTTAAAAACCTTAACAATATCATATTCATCTTTTCAAGAGGCTAAATAGTTAAATATCTCTCAGACACTGACCAACTATGGCTCATAGGCCAAATCAGCCCTCCCATCTGTTTTTGTCAGTGAAGTTTAATTGGAACGCAGACATACTCATTTGCTCACGTGTGTCTATGGTTGTTCTCATGCTGTCACAGAAGAGTCGAGTAGCTGGGTGAGGACATATGGTCCCCAAAGTGTAAAGTGTTTACCGTTTGGTCCTTTACAGAAGAAGTTTGCTGTCACTTTTTCTCTTTTATATTATGTCTTAAGTATTCCAATTTATGCGTATGTAATTTGCTATTTCACCATTTCCTTTTTGTTGGTTATTTAGGCTGTTTCCCATGCAACGATATGGTAATCGGCACTCCACTAAGTGTCATTAAAGGCAGAAATTTGTGTGCATCTATGATGACATGTTAGAATATGTTGCTAGGGGACCAGCAGTCGGCGTAATGGCTATGCCACTGGACTCCCATTTAGTTGACTGTGGTTTGAGTCCCGGATCCGGTGGCTTAAATTCACATCGGGCATGTGTGCGTGCATGCCCAAGATCTCAAGAGGAGAACAGAGGAAAAGGGATTGCGGTGTGGCCATCTCCCTTGGGGGGTGATTTCTCGCTTTCTGTCTCTCTGTCTCTCTCTATCTTTCTGGTGAGTGCATGTGCCCTATAGCAAAAACCTCTAAAAAAAAAAAAAAGAATATATTGCTAGAAGTGGACTTACTAGGTCAAAAACCTCATCCATTTTTAAGCTTTCTGTTCCATGTTTCCAATTTTACACAGTTGGAAAGTTTGCATCATTTAGCCCCCTATTGACCGTAAGTGAGGGTTCATTTTCTTTCACTTTGGACAGCGGCGGCCATAATAAGTCATGGTGATGATATATAGTTATGTCTGTGTCTGTTGGTTGCATGTTCCTTTTTTAATTTCCAGAGAAGTTGAATGTTGTTTTTTTCATGCATGTTTATTGTTTGCACTTTTTCTTTGGAGAGATACTACACATTTTGCTTTTTATTCCAGGCGTGTCCTCAAAGACAGACCAGAGAGGAGAGGGGGAGGCCGTGTGGGCCCCAAAGGGTAACATGGTGAATGGGTAGGAGGTGAACCTAAACTGATAGACAGTTTCTAATAGTTCATCTTTGATTCTACATACAGAGTCATTTCCCAAATAGAACTTGGATCCAGAACAGCTGGAATGATAAGAGATCATTTTTCGGGTTCTTGCCAAATTTCAGATGTAGAGTAGAGGGTGGGAATCTCAGTTGTTGATTCGGTGCAGGCTAAATGGGGTATGGTCGCACCACAATCTCTTTTTCTCCATCTTCCCACTCAGTCAGGATTCTGAGTGTACATACACATGCATGTTTTTCAAGACACCAGGGCCAGGATTCAAACTGCTCAGTCAGCTATGTGAGACCTGGCTCCTTTAACGACTAGGCCATGGGGTAGGCGCTATAATCACACTCTTTATTACCAGAAAGTTAATCAGTGGGTTCCAAAGACATAATCCTATGCTCAGTGTGTCCAAGACTAGGAGAAGAGGCAGGGCACTAGTCTCTGCCCTGAGCAGTTGTGGGCCCTTGGCCATTCTGTCCTTCCTGGATTCGAAACTTCCATATTTTTTGCAAAGACAACTTTGGTGTAGATGTATTTTTAGGACTGAGGGGATCATTTAGGTGAAATGGCCTGTTCTTGAGAGGAAAGGTTCTGATTGTTCAGAGAGGTTTGCACTCCTGAGTATCTTAGGAATCTTTGTATCATCTCTTCCACCGAATCTGCCTGGTCCTGTGGGCAGGAACTGTGAAGGGTCTATTTGCAAGCTACCAAGTTAGCCTATCATCATGCCATGAATGCTGGCAGAACTCCTGGCCACTTGTGGTGGCACAGCAATAACACAACATTCTGTAGTGCCAAGACCACATGGTAATGTCCCAGGGCTGTGTCCTGGGGTCTTTTGGATCCTGACTGTCCAAGACTGGGAGTGGATGGCAACATGAACGCCCTACTGAGAGTGTTTCTTTCTCTTTCTCTCTTTCTATCTCCCTCGCTTACGGAATAAATAAATAAAAATAAACTTTTTAAAAAAAGAAAATAAAGAAGACACAAGGCTCCTGGATCAGAGACAAATAACTCTATTCCTCACGGCACTGCAGACAGTGTGAGTCTCATGTTGGTGCCGGTCACCCTTGCCTTCTAAGTCTCATGATAGAATGGGGCAGCCCAGGTCGTGGGCAGCACATGCAGGCATTCATATCACAGCTGAGGAACCCAGAATTAAGGGAACCCCCATTGTCATAACAGGCTGCAAACAAATCTGTGTGAATTTTGCTCTGGAAGAAGATATTCTATTTACTAAATCAGACAGTAAACTAACCTGTCCTTTGCACTGGAGGAAGACACTGTATTTTCTAAAGCTTGCTCTATATACATCCTTGAAGAGAGTCTGGAACAAAGTCAAACAGTGTCTCTGTGGACAGGACCATGGAGAATGGTTTGCCAATGCCCCATTCTCGGAACCTCTCTGGGAGACCCTGGCACTCCCTCTTCCTGCAAGTGCCCACCCAGGTTTGCATGCCTCCCTCTTCTGTTGGGAAACATCCTTGGGAGGCAGAGCTCTGCATCCCTTGATACTAATGTCCCGGGGTGGCTGAAACAAGATAGCAAAACCTGGGTGGCTTAGAACAACAGGAAGCTCCTCTCTCAGTCTGGAGGTCAGAAGCCTGAAACCCTAGGTGTCCTCAGGGCCATGCTCTCCCTGAAGCCTAGAAGGGATCCCTCCTCACCTCTTCCCAGCCTCTGGTGGTTTGTCAACAACTGTGGTCATCCCATGGCTTATGGATACATTACCCAGTCTGCCTTCATCGCCATGTGGCCGTCTTCTCCCTGCGTCTCTCCTTCTCCTCTTTTCTCTAGACATACTTGTCTCTGTATCATAATTTCCCTTTTTTATAAGGGCTCCAGTCATGTTAGAGTGGGAGCTGGCATGTTAACTTAGTTTCTCCATAAAGACCTTGCCTCCAAATAAGGTGACATTCCAAGGTACTGGGAGGAGGACTCTAGCATGTCTTTTGAAGGATACTGTTTAACCCATAGCACTGTCCTCTAAGCCAAGAAGCACAAATCTGGGGCAGGATTGAGAGGGTAGGCCTTAACTTCAGAATGTGTCCCTTGACAGGTGGACTTTCTTTAACTAAGGCAACTTTCTTAAGGCTGGGACTATTGCTGTGAAGAGGAGGGGGACACGGTGCTACCTTTTCATTTCCTATTACTCAGAATTGGTGCTCTGTGGCTCTCCGTTCTGCCCCCTCTTTTCGGTTTTCAGATGCAGACGCAGTTGCTGCACAGATCCTCTCCCTGCTGCCACTGAAGTTTTTCCCAATCATCGTTATTGGGGTCATTGCCTTGATACTAGCACTGGCCATTGGTCTGGGCGGTGAGTACGATTCATTATTCAGGAGCTCTCAGATACCTAGCTGAGTACTTAAACTTGCATGAGCTTCCCCTCCTGCTAGCCTTTCGCTTCCACCTGTCCTTAATTACTGGAACAAACATCTTTTGGTTTGCTGACTTCACCCACGGGAATGGAAAGCCAATCTGGGGTCCAGCAGGGGCTGTTGGCCACGCTTAGGGCTTTGTCACCAAGGAACCTGCCCAACTCAAAATGTCCAAAGGCAGCTGATGAAATAGAATCCTGGGGATGGGGCGGAGAAGACAAAGAGGCCCATTCATGTGATGCCAGGCACACTGGTTATTTTTTTCATAAGGTGTATGTGGCTCTTGGGAAATGGGTCTCTTGGATGGAGGGTCCCTGACAGGGAATGATTTCTCATTTTCTCTCTCAAATAATGGATCACAGAAATCTTCAGATCACCACCTGCTTGGCCGTATGGTCCACAGCCTCGCTCACTTCCTACCAGAGTGAAAGCAAACGGGCTCTGTGGTTTCAGTCAGGACTCCTTGCTCAGCCGGCTCAGCCGGTCAGCCCAAAGCCTTGCAATTGCCCTCTTGACCTTGAGCCCTCCGGAGTAACTCTATCTTGAGTTGTGGCTCTCAGGCCAGGCCACTTAGTCAGACACAGTGGGGCACAGCAGCCCCACCCACTGGAATTCACAGAAACCGGGCTGAGGCTGCTGACAGGGATACAATTCAATGCAGCTTTCATTATTAATGGGCACAGTCAATGCCATGTGGCAGTGAATAGTCGCCAGCGCTGTGCACTGCAGGAGCTGTTCATTAACATCCCTGTTCTTCTCCACTGTCCGCAGTCCACTTCGACTGCTCTGGGAAGTACAGGTGCCGCTCGTCCTTTAAGTGCATTGAACTGACGGCTCGTTGCGATGGGGTCTTCGACTGTAAAGATGGGGAAGATGAGTACCGATGTGGTAAGGTCATGCATTCTTACTGTAGGCGGAGGAGGCCAGCAGAACCTAGCCCTGACCCTTCCTGTCTTCGAAATGGGTCGAGTTGAGGCCACTGTCATTTATGTCTTCAGCTGAGATTCAACAGGCATTCACCCCCCAGAGACTTTGGGCTAGGCTTGCGGGGAGGGCCATGATATGGAGCTCAAGTTCAGCTGGGGAAGCCCCATAGGCGATAAAATGAGACCTCCATGAAGTCTTAGGGAAGGGACTGCCAGAAAGTAGGGCCTGTTGCTATTCTGCAAGGAGGAGGCCTCTATGGACAAGGCACAGGTCTGATTCAGTAAACGGGGATCTGAGCTGGCTGTGGAGAACCGTTCCTCTGACTCTGGCTGCTAACAGGACTTTCTCCCTGTGCACTGGGCAGTTCGGGTGAGTGGCCAGAATGCTGTGCTCCAGGTGTTCACAGCTGCTTCGTGGAAGACCATGTGCTCTGATGACTGGAAAGGCCACTACGCTAATGTTGCCTGTGCCCAACTGGGTTTTCCAAGGTAAGTTAGAGAGCATTTCTGGTTCATGGGTGAAACAGCAAGAGGTAACAGTGGAGAGAGCAGCCCATTGGTTGCATGCTTACCAATGCCTTAATGCTATCACTTCCATTGTCATGGCAACCCCACGATGCTCGATCTCATTTGGCTGTTCTGTGGCATGTGGCATGGCTTCCTGCATACCACTTCACTTAGTTCCAGCGACCACATCCACACCCATGCACACTTCCCCTCAACTCTAAAGAACCAATTTCTAAGCCTGAAGTTTAGTGAAAACACCATCATTCTAAATAGTCGTTTAGCTACATGTAGAAGAAAGAGCTATCGTGGGGAAGGGAGTTTCACATTTCAGTGTTTGGTATTGCCTTGATGACTTTTTACACTGAAGTGATACATTTTTGCCCAGATCAGGGTCTCCTGTTGCCTCCTGGCTCCTTTCTTCTTACTCTACAACTGCCAGGTGTCCATGGTTCCCTAACATCACCCATAATCTCCTTTGCTCCTGACTCCCTGGCCATGCTGCAATCCCTTCTTCTCTATTCTCCTCTTGGGATTTTAGGCATGCATGCACACGTGCCTGGTGTGTTTTCCGCCTACCCTTAAAATACTTCCTTTTAGAGGAAATCTAGGGAAGGCCATTTCTCCAGTTTGTCACCTCAGCGTAGCCTCCTCCTTCACTCGTTTCATCTGTTTTCTTCTCTCTCTGTTGTGTCAATTTCTAAGATTTACATTTGCATTCTTTTTTTGTTGTTGTTTTTTATTCTTCCTACTGCTATCTTGAAAATTCTTTAATCTTTTCTACCCTACTACATCCTATATGAGATATCTGGGATTTAAAAAAAATGGGGCTGGCAGGTGGCATGATAATTAAGGTGCTAGGCTCTCACAGGGCTGACCATGGCTTGAGTATTGGACCTGGCGACTTGCTTCCTCCTTCTCTCCCTCTTTCTCTTTCTCTTGGCTTAAATTGAATAATAATGATAACAATAAATAGATAAATAATTCTTTTTGAAAAAGAAATGGATTGGCAGAGTAAATATAAATTTAAAATAAAGTACATTAATCTATTGTTCTGGGAAAAAACAAAAACAAAAACAAAAAACAAGTTGAATTGCTTCGATCCAAACCCTAGTGTAGACTCAGGCAAGCTCTATAACTTGTGTCTCAGTTTCCTCTCTTAGAAAACAGGGATGGGGCCAGCAGGTAGCATAGTGGTTAAGGTGCTAGACTCTCACATGGCCACCTGTGGTTTGAGTCTTGGACCCAGCAGCTTGAAGATCACGCTGGATGTGTGTGCATGAGTGCCCCAAATCCCAAGAGGAGAATGGAGAAGGGATTGTGGCATGGCCATCCCCTCTGGGAGGTAATTTCCCACTTTCCCCTCTCTTCATCATTGTCTCTCTCTGACAAGCACATGGATCCTGTGGCAAAAACCTAAAACAAGTAAATAAATAAATAAACAAACAAACAAAAGTAAATAGGGATAATGGGGTGGCCCCATGGTGTAGTAGTTAAAGGGGAGCCAGATCTCACATGGCTGACAGTGTGGTTCAAATTCTGGATCCAGTAGGCTGAAAAACACATGTGAATAAAGGCTCAAAATCTCAACAGGATGGAGAAATGGAGGAGATTGTGGCATGACCACACCCTCTAGGAGGGTTACTCTCTCTCTCTCTGTCTTATTTTTTGGTGAGCATACTCACCCTCTTGGGCAGAAAAAGAATGAAAGAAAAAGTAGAGATAATGCCTACTTGAAAGAGTCTGTAAGTTCAAACGCACTTCAAGTGCATAAGCAAGTCTGGTGTACAGGAGCATGCTGTAAGAGTGCGGTTGTTGGTTTTACACCCCCCTGTGAGGCTCCGACAATAAATTTACAGGGCTCTAGTTGCAGCATTTGAGGTCTCTTTGTATTTCTCTAGCCCCACCCCTTCCCCACCCACCTGCAGCAGGATCTCCCATCCCAGCAACAACTGGGCACTCTCAGGCCAGTGCCTGCCCTATGAGCCAGTTGAGCAATCCCACTGCCGTGATTACATTTCCCTCAAAACTCCAAGCTGCCTGACTCTGCATTCCACGTATGCATCCCCCTAGTATTTACGGTAATCTAATGAAATCCTGTGTGATAAGCTGGTGTGTTGGCAAGGGAAGCAAGCCAATGCATGATGTTTCATTCATTCCACAAAGCAAGGTGGGGCAGGCTATCATCTACCACCTCCCGTCTCGGACTCTATGCCCTTGCTGGCTTAAGTCATGCCTCCCTGACCATCCTTCTCCAGGAGACTCACTCCCTGATCTTCAAACATGTGCTTGATCTGGGTTCCTCCTGAGCCAGTTCTTTCCACTGGTTACCACTCTCCAGCAGG